TTCAACCTTCTGCCGCTAGAGATTGTTCCGGCGTCCGTTAACCGATTCCTAGCGTTCCTGGTCCGCTGAGTTCTTTCGGGGTCAAGCTGCTAGCCCAGCGGGCTAGGCCTTCGACCGCCGGAGAGCTCGTCTGGCCGCGGTGTTCAGTTAAAGCAATTGTCGCCGCGGTCGCCCGAATGCCTAGGGACGTTCTGTTCTTCAGGTTTCGGTGGGGCGTGTCGACCGATGGTTTCTCGCCAGCGGTCACCACCCAACTTCCGGGGGGGAGGTCGACCCTGAGATCCGCTGGGGCTGCGGTCCCCGCGTGTTCAGGCGTCGACGCCCTCCTTCCACTCCCCTGATGCCGCAGGGGCCGGGTACAACGTGCCCCTGGCTATCCAACCTGTGTGCGGACGATGGAGGGAAAACTACAGTGGGGGCAATCGAATGCCTGGGCGGGTTCGGGCGGTGCGCTGCTCTGTTCCTGCCGGGCGGGCCTGTCGTTCCGGCGACGGCCCCGGCCAACTTGATCACTTCCTGGGCGCGGGCTCCCCGCGCTCAGTGTCTTCCCCTGGGGGCGGTGGGCGATGGGTGGGCGAGGGATGGATTTAGGCGTGGGCCCACGCCCGAGTTCCCCCCTCTTCCCCCCCCTTCTCTCGCCCCCTCGGGGGTCGGCGCCAGGTGAGATATCTGGTTGATTCTGCCAGTAGTCATATGCTTGTCTCAAAGATTAAGCCATGCATGTCTAAGTATAAGCAATTTGTACGGTGAAACTGCGAATGGCTCATTAAATCAGTTATCGTTTATTTGATAGTACCTTACTACATGGATACCTGTGGTAATTCTAGAGCTAATACATGCTAAAAACCTCGACTTCGGAAGGGGTGTATTTATTAGATAAAAAACCAATGCCCTCCGGGGCTTTCTGGTGATTCATAATAACTTGTCGAATCGCATGGCCTTGCGCCGGCGATGGTTCATTCAAATTTCTGCCCTATCAACTTTCGATGGTAGGATAGTGGCCTACCATGGTGGCAACGGGTAACGGGGAATTAGGGTTCGATTCCGGAGAGGGAGCCTGAGAAACGGCTACCACATCCAAGGAAGGCAGCAGGCGCGCAAATTACCCAATCCCGATCCAAGGGAGGTAGTGACAATAAATACTGATACAGGGCTCTTTTGAATTTTGGAGAGAGGAGCCGATTCCTAGCGTTCCTGGTCCGCTGAGTTCTTTCGGGGTCAAGCTGAAGTCCCAGCGGGCTAGGCCTTCGACGCCGGAGAGCTCGTCTGGCCGCGGTGTTCAGTTAAAGCAATTGTCG